TGTCAGAAGGTTTTCTCGCATTCATTGCAAGTAAATGATTTATCTCCAGAATGAGTCCTCAAATTTAGATTAATTTAATGTTCTGGTTGAAAGCTTTCTGATATTTATCACACACATAGGGTTTCTCCCAAGTATGACTTCTTTTTTTCATTTTTAACTTTTTAGAAAGAATTATCTATATACTTTTGTATTCATCATTACTTTTACTTTTTAAAAATTTGCTACAGGGCACATGTGCTCACCAGAAGGGGGAGAGAAAGAGAGAGAGAAGGAAAGTGAGAAAGCAAGCTGCCAGGTCTAGCACTCAAACCAGAGTCAGCCACGTGGGAGTCTAGCACCTTTACCACCAAGCCACCTGCTGACATCTATTAAGTGATGAACAATGTCTGAAGGCTTTACTACATTCTTCACTCCAAGGGTTTCTCGCTAATATGGATTCTCTGGTGTGTACTAAGAAATGTGCTTTGACTAAAGGCCCTTCCACATTTCTCATATTTGAAAGATCTCTCAGTGATATGAATCTCGTGTGTTCAGTAAAGTGAATGGGGCTGTCTAAAGATTTTCTCACATATGTTGCAATCACAGGTTTTTGTCCTTATATAACTTGTTGGATGATTAACCAAACCTACTTCGTATTTGTTCCTCTTTCTAGGTGTATCACACTTATAGTGCCTCTGTTCTATAATAACATTTGAACTCACAATGTTGTTTTTCCCAAACTTGATTCTTGGCCTCTCTTCTTGTGAGTCAGGATGGTTTGCCTCACATCTCTCCCACAGGTTTCTTGGAGCCTCTCTGAAGTATCATCATGTTTGGAGACATGGCACTTCTTTGGCACTATCTGTGGCTCTTCCTTCTCCAAGTGGGAAATGACACCAGTTTTGAAAAATTTATATCCCACTGACACCAGATCCTGGTAGTTCTCCAGCATCACCCCCTTTTACAGATTCCAGTGAGCCAGAGTCAGTTGACCTGCCTGTTTTGTTTGTTTGTTTTTAAGAATTATTTTATTTAACTTTTAATTAACTAATTAATTAATTTTGATTCAACTAGAGAAGGACAGAGTGAGAGAGAGAGGAAGAAGGAAAGTGAGAAAGGAAGCCAACAGGACCTAGACTTGAACCATGATGGAGCATGTGGGAGTCCAGCACGGTTACCCACCACGCCACCTGCCAGCCTGGCCCTACTGTTTTTGTGTGACATCTACAGATAGGATCCTGGGATCTCTGGGGTCACTTCGCCTTCTAAACTGTCTCCAAAGTTTACATCAGCACCCTGAGGTAGCAGAGCTGCTTCTTCACATCCTCCCATGGAGTTGTCCCTTCCTTCGCCTTCTTTGGATGGTGTAACTTCACCTAGGTGCTGGCCTTAGCGGGAAGGAGCTTCGGTGGCATGATGACGCATTCCGGATAAGGCACGTCTACTTCTGGTGAGAAAATAGCCCTGACAACAAGTGGGAGTCTTCACAGTCGTGTGGCCCTCCTCAGATCCTATCCTCAGGACACTGAGGTGTCCCTGAGGCACCAGGACTGTGGGAAGCTGCACACCAGCTAGTCTGCCGAGGTTTCTCAGAGAGCAAACAATTACCATGATTGGGTCCCTTCCAAAAACCTGACCTTCGAAACCTTGCTCTGATTGGC